AGAGAAACGGAGGGCAATTTCCGTCAATCAGCAACGGCGAAAAGCGCCGGGGTAAGGCACCATCGTTTCTGGGTGGGTAGGCCTGGGGAAGCAAGGAAGGGGGGGACATGGTACCTAGCTTGCAACTTGCAAGGGAAAGCGGCGCAGAGGAGGCGGGACTCGGAGGAGGTGCAGCTGTCGGGACAGCAGGATCTGAGAGGCTCTGACCTTATCTGTGGGGAAAACATCGAAAGTTGCTCCCCAAGCGGGCCAAGCGGAGGGTCCTGGCCTGCGGTCGGGGTGGTGAGAATGGAAACGAGCTGGTGGCTTTTCCCGTTCCATCTGCACTCTTGACTTCCGGCCTGGTTTGGTTCGCATTTCAAACCGAACCCCGGCCCCGTGTCGACACGACACGACACAACACCCCTTTGGCCTCCGATTGTCACCTCAATCCCTCCTCTTCGTTTCCTCTCATCCTGATCATCGTCCTCCTCGTCCCGGCCCACCCCCCGGCTCTCCAAAGCCCTCCAAACGATCCCCAAACCCAACTCTTGTCTCCCCAATCGCCCCCCGGCTTCCGTTGCCTATCAGGTGTTCCGAAATCGTGGCATGGGTATCCAGGATGGCAAAATGGTAGGGGCACACAGTACTGTAGGGAATACCCGCCGATACACTCCACCTTGTCCCTCGCCCATGGTCCCCTCGGTCCTTCCTCTTGCCTAAATTGATTGAGATTCTCACAGCCTTCTCGGCCGTTCTTGCTCCCTAGCTTGGCCAAAAGGCCCATTGCACAAGAGACGCCTGCCAAAGATCCTGGAACCTGCAGCGGCTGTCACCGAGTGGCGTGGTGGTGCCCTCGACCAGGCTCACAACTCGTCCCCTTCCCCAGACAAAGAGCAGCACTAGGAGTCTCGGCTTACCTGCTTGGGTTCGATGCCTGGAAAGCTTGAGAAACTCCCCTGTATCAATGCCTTCCTACCTATTTGCCGCCTCAATCAGAAGCCTCTGCTCACCATCGGCGCCTCGGTGTGCATTTAGTACCCAGCCCTTCACCTTATTATACATACACTAGGTAACTGGACTTGCGTCGATACGAGCCCGACTTGCGTGGGCATAATGCCCTCGATGCGAGGACCAATTGAAAGCATTTTCGACATGATTTGTCTTCCGCCCAGCCCGGCCAGCGACTCACTGCTCAGGATATCTCCCCATTTGGAGACATTTGCGACTACACACTAACGGCTACTCGGCTCGTTAACTCGAATTGTCATCGCTTCATGTTTGGGAGGTGCCGGTGTGTGTGTGTGTGTGTGTGTGTATGTGTGCTGCACTGGCGAGACTTGGAACTCATCGAATGCGAACGTAAGCCGGATGAGAATGAGAGAAGCCGCAACAGACAGACTGGTTTGGAGCTGCCCGAAACTGCTTCCTTTCCTTGCAGATTGCATACTCCCCCAATCAATCGGTTGCATTCCCGGATCGGTTTCCCCAGAGAGCCAAGCGGTTCGATTGTGCCTTGGCGCATCTATAGGATAGAGGATACAGCATCACACCCTCAACAGGAGTTCGTCCCATCTACTACGTCTACTTTCCCCAGGTTTCCCCACATGCTCCCGTCGACAACCTCACCGGTCCTTCTGCACCACAACACCACAGCGCCCACTGGCACGTCGGTCAAGAGCCGCATCTGCACCCCTCTCCACGATCTTGGATCTCTGGGGCCCTCCGTCCCGCAGCCTGTTGCATATTCGCGCGGGGGCGTTTTGTGCCTCCTGAAAGGTGAAAATGGCGGCTTTGCGGGATCCCGGGCCGAGGAAGGAAGTCAATCACACACCCATTCGCAGTCTCGCTGAATGAGATCCCCATCTGTAACACATTCTAGTCACCGAGAAGACGCATTGGTCTAGTGATCGTATTTTTCCCTTCCGGTGTCCTGTCTGGGGTTGTTTTTCTCTGTGCGCGACACTGTGATTTGTGAACCCGAACTTCGTTCCGGATAAGTGATCCGGGAGTTGTACGCAGCTACATAGATCTACGTTTGCTCAATCTGTCTCACTCGCCCTCTTCATCTGATAGTTACCACCATGAACTCTGTTACGGTACATGATGACTGACGGATATGATAATCTCCTTCCGGAGCTGATAAGGGCTAGTGCCTTTAGATTCTTTCGGTGCTTATTTCAAGACATGCAAACCTAAGAACCTGCCATAGAAAATGCGCCGATCGATACCAAGTGTGCTAATACAATGAGGGCTACGACATGGACAGAGATCTATATCCTGCATGGTCACCATACTGGTCACTCGGAGCCTCAACGTCCAGCTACCGTCGGCCACAACGTCGGCTTGAGGCTAGATCGAATATATCCGGCTTGGCACCTAATCAGGATTGTACACAGAGGGTTTTGTATGTAAGAGATCATGTATCAGTTACAGCACGTTTCAGGAATTCGCCTACTACATTGACCATAAATCTTCAAAGATTCTTGCTCCAACCGCGGACCCCTGGCTGAACTTGGATGAATCTAAGGTGAAGACCTGGCGAATTCACTAATTAATTTCTTCACGTGGCTATACTGCACGACTGTAGCCCGGCCTGAGGGACAATCGAGGATTGAGACGGGATGAAGCATGAGTAGAAACTGTGGTGGCGGTATATGAAATCACCGGCAAGGAACGAATGAGCTGACACATGTAGTTCAACAGCCCACACGTTCATTGGCTTGTTCAGTCAACTCGTCCTTACTGCGATTAGGTCCTTTCTATAGATCTTTACGCAAGTCTCCAAGTGCTAAAAAGTGTTGGCTCCTACCGGCCCCTTAGCCAAGTCAGTGTTGGAAACGACCTTATCTATTGATGATTACTTTAAGAGGGGTATAGAGACAGATTTGCCTGATGTTTGTAATCCAACTTCTTACAGAAAGTTTTAGCTTGGGCTTCGACGTATTCCCACCACGCCTGTCTCGATTTCAGATGTTCTCTGCAGTTATGAGTCGTTGAAATTGACTGAGGGACCGGAAGTTCACTACATCACACTATTATGACATGATCTGACAATCATAGACCGTGCTGTACACACATTATATGTATACATAGTTCAAATCTCCCCTGATATAAACCGAAGGGCACATGCCTAAGGTTCTCTATTGAATGATTCATTCATAGCTTCCAAGCAAGTGGATATACCGAGTACCAAATTGAATGCACGGCGGAGCCCTTTTAAGTGAAGTTTTGCCACAGTACTCCAGGTTTTCGTTCTGAGTGTCTCATGAAATCTTCAACAATAACAGGCCTCTGCATGTCATGTGCAATTCTCCATTTGTTGTAACAATGTGGTATACTCCAGGGTTCAACGAAGCCGTAGTCGGCTCTGACACAGAAACCATAATCTTCCTGACGCCCCTGAAATTCTTTGTTGGATATGTGAGAAGGCCTCTCTTGATGGGAAGCTAGACTTGATCTACATCTCATCCTCCGAGACCAGGCATATCGGAGACTTGGGCCGCGGTTTCTGTCCTATGGCTTTCGTCAGCCGAAACCTGCCAATATCCACATGGTCCATAAGTGGGAGTTGGTCAGGGGAACATATGGCTAGAATAACAAAACGCGCCAAGTAGTCATCTCGCGGCATCGAATCACCCCCCATAGACATAGTGACCATCGCGCACCAGCATCCTGCTGCTTGAGGAATTTTGGTTTCTTACACTATGCTGTGGGGGGTTGCACCTGGAAGTCACGCTGAATGGTTTTCTCCTTCAAAAAGCACACCTTCAAGTTTTTGATCAGTCTCCTAGCCGAAGGCACCTGGGTTGCTTTATCTGTCCGATACACAGACAGTTAGAGGAGACAGAGACTTTTGATCGAAGACTCAAGAGTACCACGTTTCGAAGACTAACCTTGTTGGTGTAGACATAATGTGTGCTCAAGCCTCTCTTCAGTTCCAGAGTAGTGGATGCCGACTTTTCTCTGGAAGTACACTATTCCAAGCAGGTTGAGGTACGAACACAACAGACGAAGGAGATACTGGCCTACTGACTAAACATCATGGCTTACTACTTCAAGGCATTTGACTAGTTTCTCATTTCAAATTGTTAGTCTGGTCTAGGTAACCCTGCCCTTTCGGCTCAACTTTGAAGGAATCAGATCCCCTTTCACCATAGATAACCACCATATCTCTTTCTAACAGCCATGAGAAATACCGGCCGAGTTGGCCCGTCTGTATTTGATCAATTTGTTCCCCTGTGTTCTTTTGTCATTCCTCATGCGTTCGTTCACTGTGGGCTGTGGATTATAGACTACAGCAGATGAAAGAAGCTTGGTATAGCATAAAAGTCTTTGTTCATTCCTTCCATTCTAACGATGATTTCATCGTTAATCATCTCCAAAGGAAAGGTAGTGAAAGCAGTGATCTGGTTTATGCAGATATGATAGGGCTGGGCTCGCGCTCGACAAAGCCATCATTGTTGCAATATTGGCTTCCGGTCGTTTGTTCAAGTCAACCGAGCAAAGGCATGACAAGGTCTGCTGCAGATCTATAAGGGAATTCAGTAGTACGAGGACATCGACCAAGTGATGGAAGGTGAGTGTTTGAGGTTAAAACTCACTGATAAACCATCTTGAAGGGCAAACCCGTATACCAAAAAGGCACGCAAAGAGCTTCTGTGGTGCGTTAACTGTAGAGCAAGTCAATGGCTCGAGCTGACTTCACTACGTAATATTCGATGCCACGTTCGTTGACAAGTCAGTATTTGGTCTATCATAACAGTTGCGGCAATGCAAGGTCGAGCTGGTAGATCGTCTTGAGAACGAGCACTGTCCCAAAACAGTTGCTTCTGCGATGCGAAAACCCCACACAAGCCCAGGAGACAACATCAAGATTAAGATGGAATGCCACCGCTGATTGCTGTACTAGAACCAAGTACTGAACCTTCTTCACCCTCCAATGTGGGTGTTGCTATCTTACAACACGAAGAAATGCTCCTCAACCATGTCCCGTCCAACCTCCCGTTTGTATCGTACAATTAGCCCCAGTTAATTCCGAGGAACCTGACACCCTTCTTCCCGGAACCTGTCGCAGTATCCGCGTTCTCCAGGTAATATCTTTGTTGGCCCCTTACATCAATGTAAAGGTATTTGTACTCAAACTCGCCAGAGCTTGGCGTCTTGATCATGTGCAGGTAAACAACGCCCTTGTTGAGGGGCCCTTCGACCTAGAAGGGTTTAGCGAAGGATCAAGCTGGAAGGTCTCTAGTTACATACGTGAAAGTGCATCAGCAGGTGCTCATGTCCTCGCGAATCAGTGTTGATGGTTGAGCTAATCCAGTCAGTTGTATGCAAACATCTTCCGAAACACCGGGAACGTACGCGATCGGCCGAGCCCGCCGCCACTTGTTGTTCGTCTCCTCCCCATGCGCGGAAATTTTCTTTGGGTCTCCTAGCATTTCAATGCATTTTGGATCGCTTTTGATTCTGTCGACGACACGGTTGAAATGGGCGACCTTGCTATCCGGGGAGAACACATCGGACCACAAAACGTATACCACTCCGCCCTGTTCCATTGCACCGAGCGTTAGCTGAGGCTTGCCGCGGGGTAGGAGGTCGTATGACTTGCCGTCACTGCCAGACCAGCCAGAATCAACCCAAAATTGAAGCTCTGCTGCGTTGCCCTGGCAGCCTTTTCTCCCATCGAAAGCTGCGACCAAGGAACGGATCCATTATCGTTGAATGGCGTGACTGTTTTTCGTTTCGACCCAGGCGCAGCAGTTGTTCCTAGACCGGTCTGTGTCGCATAGCTTCTCTGGAGTAGCAAGGGGTGTAGTCGAGGCGCAAGGCCCAATCCCGTAGGCGCACGAATCGCGATCGCACGTGTATTCATCTTCATCATGGCGGTTTGGCGTCGGCCATCGTACAACCGCAGGGGCAAAAAGGGTGGTTGTCGAAGAGCTCGGCAGTCGAATGCTGGAGCTCTCGTATACCAGCTTGGCTGGGCCGGGCGAGCTCTGCAAAAGCCTCTTGACCGCCCTTGGCAGAATTGGACCTGCCAATCCACTGTGGGGAAAAGTTTACTAACCGGATCGGGCCTAGCTCTTCCAATACATGCCACTTCACCGAAGGCGGCGACTGCCTCCTGAACTTTTGGACACGAAATTCAATTATCTCCGCTCCCTGCATCGCTCTTGCGCATCCCCATATACCCGCAATCTGCACCTCTTTCTCACCCTTCGAACCTACAACTTCGCAGCGGTTGCGCTTTCAACCTCAGGACAACAAACACATAACTGATCTGTTGCACACACCTTCACCATGGCTGCCCTCGCTTCTAAGCAGCAGTCGCTGAAGATCTTTGAGAAGTTGAAGACCAAGCCTGCGAACAAGGTATGCCCAACATCCGTGCCTCCCTTTCATGGCTTCGACTGCAGTCAAGTGCTGACAAGACTGTGCGCGACAGATCTGCTTCGATTGCGGCGCCAAGTACCCGACCTGGACATCAGTCCCCTTTGGCATCTACCTCTGCCTTGACTGCTCCTCCAACCACCGAAACCTTGGTGTTCACATCTCCTTCGTCCGATCCACCAACCTCGACCGTATGTATCCGACCGCGATGCTCTTCTTTTCCCTTGGCTAATCCCTGCGATAGAGTGGCAATGGGATCAGCTCCGCTTGATGAAGGTTGGCGGTAATGAGTCGGCAACCAAGTTCTTCCAGCAGAACGGAGGAACTGCCGCTCTCAACAGCAAGGACCCCAAGACCAAGTACCAATCCAACGCTGCGACCAAGTACAAGGACGAGTTGAAGCGTCGCGCAGCGAGAGATGCCCAAGAGTACGTAGGAGAACTATATCCCATTCACATGCGCGACCAGCTAATTATCCAGGTACCCCGGCGAGGTTGTTATCAATGATGCCGCCGATGCCGACACTTCGACCCCTGCTGGCGAGCCCGACGATGATTTCTTCTCATCCTGGGACAAGCCCTCCATCAAGAAGCCTACTCCTCCCATTTCTCGCACAGCGACCCCTCCGACCGTTGGCCGAACCCCTTCTCCCTTCCTCAACGCCAACAATGGTGCTGGCAAGGACATTACTCGGTCTGCATCTCCTTTGTCCAAGACCGAAGCCGACAACAAGCCTGCTGCCAGCCGTATAACCACATCCGCCGCCCTTCGCAAGACAACCGCCACTGGCGCGCCGCGCAAGGCCAATATCCTTGGTGCCAAAAAAGCGCCCAAGCTTGGAGTCAAGAAGGTTACCAGCGACGTTATCGACTTTGACGAGGCCGAGAAGAAGGCCAAGGAGGAGGCCGAGCGCATCGCGAAGTTGGGCTACGATCCTGACGCTGAGGAGGAGAAGAAGGCTTCTACCAAGGCGGACCCCATCGCGGCTCCTACCCCTGTCAGCCCCCAGGGAGGCTACGGATCATCCAGCCACACCCGCCAGAAGTCCAACGCAGAGGTGGAGCGTTTGGGCATGGGTGTTGCCAGGCTGGGCTTCGGTCAGGTTGGTGGGCCCAAGGGTGCCGCAGCACCTAAAAAGGCCGCCGCTGGTGGTTTCGGCTCTGTTGGTCCCATCAAGGCCAAGACTGAGGGTAAGGAATTTGACTTGACCATAGCCTGAAAGTGCGACTAACGATGTTGTAGATGACAGCGAAAACTACGCTCGCAGCAAGTTCGGTACCCAGAAGGGCATCTCTTCCGACGAGTTCTTCGGCAAGGGTTCATTCGACCCCAACGCCCAGGCTGAGGCGAAGACGCGTTTGCAAGGTTTCGAGGGTGCCACCTCGATCTCGTCTAACGCATACTTCGGTCGTCCCGAGGACGAGCCCGTGGAGGAGTACGGCGACCTCGAGGGCGCAGCCAAGGACTTCATTCGCAGATTCGGCATCACGGCTGGTGATGATCTCGAGAACCTCACTCAGCTGGCAGGCGAGGCCAGCCAGAAGCTGCAGGGTGCTATCCGCGCTTACCTCGGAAGCTGAGCGGGCCGAAGACGAAAATAAAGCTGTAAAGCTGTATAGACGGGAACGATATCGCTTTTGATTTTACTTCGCCATCAAGACTCAATACATGCGGCCCATACCCCGTTATTGCGAAGGAGAACAGTCCTTGGGGTCTCATACAAGGCCACAAGAGGAATGAACCGGAACGTTGCAAAATGCCAGGCGGACGCGAGAAACGATACCATGTGCGCTATGCCACGGACTATCAAGTGAGTCTCGGGTTTGGCAATGAGGGGAGAAGGACGCGTGCTGGGGGTTTTGGTTTGATGCATCCCAGCATATGAGGCGTACAGACAGAGCCGGCGACGGGGAGTGATGAAACTGCTTGTTGGTTTAGGTAATACATAAATATGAATGAATAGATTTGAGCTTCGTTTTCATCATACTGGATATGATGGCCTGAGGTACTCGTAATGGCTTGCTTTGTTCGACGTGTGGAGGTTCCCCCAGGTAACTGCAGGCGCCACAGCAGAAAGCATGTGAAGTATCCACTTCCCGGTTCTGCAAGGGTCCACCGATTTTCCGAAAACGAGGACGCTCCATGAAACTCAAGACATGAGCGCAAGAGAATGCGACGACAATTGATAAATAAAGACGATCGGTAGCACTGCCATCCGACCAAATGATTAGTCACAGCTACAAAATTCAGTTGAAGCACGGCCATGGGAATACCAGTAGCGGGCAAAGAAAAAAAAAATGTTGTAGATCATTCATGATATGCTAGCAGTCGTCCGTCCTAGATCCATCGTCCTTGATATATACAAAACAAGAGCCTCATAACTCCAGGCCCTGGGGGACGCCAGGTACAGAATTGCCCTGACGCTGCCCCGAAATGCGACTGACTCGTAATAAGAAACACTAGGCTTTTACAGATTTACAGCTTGGCGATCATCTTGTTGCCCTTCTGAAGCCATGCAACGGCGTCGTTGACAAACTCATCGACGACGGCCTTCGCGGGCTTCTTCTCATTGCAGACAGCGGCGGCCTTGCCCATAAGGAAGGGGCGGAACTGGTCGAGCGCGTCGTCGATGTCAACCTCGGAGGCGTTATTGTCGTCACCACTGCTGCCGCCCTCGCTGTCACCAGAGTTCATGAGCTTCTCAAGGTCAGCCTCGTAGGGGATAACACCCTTGGCAGTGAGCTCCTTGATCTCCTGCTGGCGCTCAGTCTCCCAGTTCTCGATGTAGGGGTTCTTGCGGACGCGCAGAGGACGACCGGTGAAAATGAGGGTCTTGATGTTGTCGTCGTGGCCGGCGGTGCGGACAGCCTCCTTGTGCGCCTCAGGGGCGCCGGCCTCGTCGGTGAGAATGAAGCGGGTACCAACCCAGACAGCGCCAGCGCCCATCATCAGGGAAGCAGCCAGGAGCTGACCGTTGTGGATACCGCCGGCGGCGATAACCTGGACAGGACCCTTGAGGAGAGGGCTTCGGTGGTTCTTGCAAAGGTCGACAACGGCGGGGATGAGGACAGTGGTGGGAACGTCACCGGTGTGACCACCACCCTCACCACCCTGGGCGCAAATGATGTCGACGCCGAGGTCAAGGCACTTCTGAACGTGCTTGGGGTGACCAATCATGTTCATGTAGACGATGCCGGCAGAGTGCAGTTTGTCGACAACCTGCTTGGGGGGGACACCGACGGCGGAGACGAAGAGCTTAGCGCCAGACTCAATGATGATGTCAACGAGCTCATTGAGCTTGCCCTTGGTGTAATCGTAGCTGGGCGCAGCGGGTGGTTAGCCTCGGTCAAGTCAAGAGAGGCGACACATGCGCCAGCTTATCCGGGAAGGAGGAGCAAGCTTACTTGGTCTTGCGGGCGCTGCCGCCGACCTGGGGGAGGAGCAGGTCGACACCGAAGGGAGCGTTCTTGTCGTCGAGGTACTCCTTGAGCTCCGCAATCTGCTCCTTCAGCATGTCGGGTGTGTAGCCGACACCACCGATGACACCGAGACCGCCGGCGTTAGTAACAGCAGCGGCCAGCCTGGGGCCAGCGGCGACGTTCATGCCGGCGAGGAGGATCGGGTGCTTGATCTTGAAAAGATCGGTAATGGGAGTGCGGATCTGCTCTGTCATTGCGGAAACGTGTCAGTTACGGCTTCCTTCTAGCAATCGGCGCCGCGACTCGCATGTGACAGCTGAGTCCAGAGAGTGCGACTCGACTTACGAGGGGATGCCATTGTGCCTGGTTTACTGAATGTGTTGACGCTTGTAGGTTTGATATATTGTAATCGCGAAGCGTTACAATGGGATCTGGGGATGGGTACAGGGTTTTGTGGACGAAAGAAGAAGAATGGAAGAAGGTTACGTGAAGGGGAGAAGTGATCTGGCAAGCGGCAGTTTAAAGGGCTCTCTGGTGGTGGTAGCGCTCGGCATCAAAGGAAGCATGGTTTCTGGGGAAGAAGGGGCGGAGTAGCGTTGCCATGCGCCCTGCTGGGCCGAGGTTCGCCTGTGACCTCAGCGCCTAAGCCCATTCAGGTAAGGCGGGCAACTCCAGCGGGGTGGATCTGGGGAAAAGATGCCGAGGACCAGTTCCAGAGGCCAGCGAGGGGCGGGACATTTTCACAAGGTGCCAGGAAAGCACAATATGTTTATGCATCTTTTGGTGATTCATCATCGGATTCGGTCCGGTGACCTCGATCTGGGGAATCTCGACGTGAGCATGTAGTGCAGCAAAGAGTTTCTTTGCTCGCGCATCTCACTTGGGACTTTTTCGGTCGGACACGGTTGTTTCGTCCACAGACAACCCAACGGGCACTTGACAGCGGGTCAATCAATGCTTGGGCCCCGAGTCAACAACCTGTAGTATCCGTTCCACAGCGGTTGTATATAACCTCGTAAAGTTTTGTTCGAATCATGTTATGATCTAACGAACTTCAAGCTCATTGCAACCACAACATCTGGCCAGCGACGCAGCGGCTTGGACACTGACGAAACGGGCCGTGGACAAGATCCATTCCAGGTCCTCGTGTCAATCAATAATCGACCAGTCCCATATCCACGCGCGCAGAACCCACACACTTTACGCGCCTTTCCCTGCTCCCTCCTTACCCCAATTACCTAAGCCTTCACGACTGGACCGCAAAGGACCGCAGCGCCCAAACCTCATTGGCTGTAAAATGAAAAAAAGATTCTCTATCCCTCAGTGACCCTCAACCACAAACTCATATTGGGGTGTGGGCGCGCGTAGCCACCGTCGACTTTCTCATGATGAAACCTCCGATCCCCCTACGCCACCGTCCCTCCTTCTCTTCACGAGCTTGTGCCCTAGCACGGAGCAACAATGCGCGCCGCCACGCCTTAACGCCGCGACTTGTCCGGTTCCAGGCCATGACAGCAGCATCAGCTTCCTGCACAACCTCCTTGCTCACGCACCGCTGCAGCACTAGTGCCCCGGCGCTCGCCCGCTTCTCCCCTTCCCGCCCTACCACCACAACCCGCCGGACCCCGTCGCCGATCATGACCGCCGCCGCCCAGACCCGGTCGGCGTGTGGGTGCGCCTGCAGCGGCGGCGGTGGATGCGGCGGCTCCCGTGACGGCGGCGCCGCCCGCCCCAAGGGTCCGAGGACCGCATACATCGCCCTCGGCAGCAACCTCGGCGACCGAGTTGCCTGGATCGAGCAGGCCTGCGCTGAAATGGACCGTCGCGGCATCAAGGTGAAACGCACCAGCAGCCTGTGGGAGACGGAGCCCATGTATGTTCTAGAGCAGGATAGATTCGTCAATGGAGTTTGCGAGGTTAGTGATCCCTTTACTTCACGAGAGCCTTAATTTGCCCTCTCATGTCCGTTTGTGATTTTTCTGTACAAGTTATGCGAGCTCCTGCGATAGAGTTGGACTGATCGGGCGATGCAGGTTGAGACCGAGCTCGAACCCTTGGCTCTCCTCGATGAGCTCCAAGACATTGAGCGTACAATGGGTCGTCAGAAGGTCATTAACAAGGGTCCTCGCAACATTGATCTCGACATCCTTCTCTATGATGACGAGAAGGTTGAGCATCCTCGCCTAACTGTCCCTCACATTGGCATCCCTGAGAGGGAGTTTGTGCTCCGACCCTTGGCTGAGTACGTCCCTCACCCTTTTCTTACGATCACCCGCTGAGACGCATCAGACTCATCCCGGAGAAGCCTCTCTACGCCTCCAACCCCTGGAAACTCACCTTGGATTACCTCAACGAGCTTCCCCCATCAGCTGCGCCGCTCTCACCGCTAACTCCTATTTCGTCGTCTCAATCTCCCTTGGCCTCTCTTTCCTCCAACCGCCAAACCCACGTCATGGCCATTGTGAACGCCACACCAGACTCCTTCTCGGACGGCGGCGTCCACAACCCCCAAAACCTCGTCGCGACCCTGAAATCCTTCGCCGCAGCCGGCGCTACCATCGTCGACATCGGCGGCTGCTCCACCGCTCCCGGCCGCCCCGAGGTCCCCACCGACGAGGAGCTCGCCCGCGTCCTCCCGGTCATCAAGCTGGTCCGCGGTCTCCCGGAGCTCGCCAACCTTGCCATCAGCATCGACACCTACCGCGCCTCTGTTGCCGAGGCTGCCGTTGCCGCTGGCGCAGACATCATCAACGACGTCTCGGCCGGCCAGCTTGACCCCGACATGTTCCGCACCATGGCCCGCAGCAACCGCACCGTCTGCCTCATGCACATGCGCGGCACGCCCGCGACTATGAACTCCCTGACGGACTATCCGGACGGCCTGATCCCCACCATTGCGCGAGAGCTGCTCGACCGCGTCGCGGAGGCAGAGGCGGCGGGTGTGCGTCGCTGGCGCATCATTCTCGACCCTGGGCTGGGCTTCGCCAAGACGGGGGCTCAAAATCTTGAGATCCTGCGTCACTTGGACGAGCTCCGCTCCTGGCCGGGTTTGGAGGGGTTCCCCTGGCTGATCGGTTCCAGCAGGAAGAGCTTCGTGGGCAAGATCACCGGCGTGTCGAAGCCTCAGGAGCGCATCTGGGGCACGGCAGCCACCGTTGTCTCGGCCGTGCAGGGCGGAGCTGATATCGTGAGAGTTCACGACGCCGTTGAGATGTGCCAGATCGTCAAGATGGCGGATGCCATCTACAGACATTGAGTAGATTTGGGGCAGCGGACGAAAAGGAGAGACTTATAACAATACATATATGCATTAGCGAATGGTCTTGGGGATAGAATTTCCGTACAAGAGACGGCAACAATAAATCTAACAGATACTTCTGGCTTTTTTGTTCGATTTCCTTAGACCGCCCGGCACCATGGAGTTGAGTATACGATGAACATTGAGATTTTGGAGGGCAAATGCGTCGCTCGAGACGTACCGTCCCTGAGGCATGTCGCTTTGCGGCATTCCTTACTCCAGCTATCATTGAGGTTTTGCCCAAAACTTCTCCGAGACACAACCTCGGCTGCAATCGCCATTGTCCTCACAGTCTCATCTCAAGCTGCCTCTCCCCCCATGAATCTCTCCGTACTTCCTGATGACACCCTCTGTTAACCAGCTCAACCGTGCTCATCAGGCCGTATCTCCTATTCCCTCAAGCTTGCCCATTGGCCCAAGCCAAGCCTCTTCCCACTCCACAATTTCTCTACCGCCCTGTTCAAAGGTTTCGACGCGGCCGATATTCCTCCACATATTGGCAATATTTATGAGAGGGCCGGCATGAGTGTATGCAATGAGAAGGAATAGGAGCACCGCCGTCACGGTGCGGTGTTGCATCTTGTATACGTGGTTGTGGATGTATCGTCAAAGTCGTTGTTTGACGCGTTTGTTTGCTGGAGCCAGGTTGCGACGGAAGACGCCCAAGGTCTTGGAGGTGAATGTAACTGGGCCCGAAATGAGGTTTGGATAGAGATTTACTAGGAGTAGAGGGGTGATCGCGTGTAGTGGAGGTTCTTTCGGGACGTTTGTAGATGGTGCTGCGAGGCTCTATCTTGCAACAGGCCAAAGAAGGTGAACAGCATTCGTCTCAATCAGGCACTGCTCAACCCACTATGAACCTTTCTGACGTGGTGCTCATATCTAGGACCTTGATGCTAACGAAACGATGGCTGGAGCCCTCCTGTACTCAACGAGCTTGATAGAGTTTCGGGTGTAGGTTCGATATAATGCAAACAGAGCGTCATTGGCTTGTTTTCGAAGTTGGGGGCCGCCATACCAACTCTGTACTCATCGTCCACATCGGAATCTCCTCGCAAGCTAAGTCGTTTCCCACGTCATGCTATTGAACTCTGTTGGGTGGCTCTGTTCCATCCATCTAATATCGATTGATCACATCTGCCAAATTACACGAACCACCACACTGCAACGAGTGACAACCGCCTACCCTCTATCTTTTATCTATTCTTATCTCAAGAGGTGTAACTTACAAAAATACTATGGTTAAGGAAGACGGGGGTAGGATTCAGATAACCCCAAGGATATTCGGGAACACCTGAATTTGAGCATAGAAACAACCGCAGGCTTCCTTCTCTCACTGATTCGTCCTGTCTATTAATGGAAACCGATCGGTGAATCTACAAAATATTGTCCACTGCCCCTCCGCCATTTCAAAAGGTTACTTTGGCAGTTATAGTGGAATGCCGGGGGTAACTGCGAACGCTACTTTGCCATGTTTCGAATCCTAAGCTCGATTTCTTGTACTATTACTTCATTATGTGAACCTTGAGGTTACTCACACTATGCCGTTCATAATTGTCACAATATCACGTTTAACCATTTCCACAAATGGTTGAAATATATCTGAGGACTGAGTATGGATAAATTCGTCCTAGGAACCTCCTCTTTAGCCAGACCAACTCTCCTATCTCGAGCTTGAAGTCATGAACATTAGTCACACTTCAAGAAACCGAAGTAACAGAGGTAGACTGCAGCTATTTTCTACTTTTACCATCGGAATAGTAACTTCTCCCTGACGATTGGACCGGGATGGACAGAGGCTGTGGCGGTCATTGCTTCGTGGATCGATGATGTAGAAATGGGACTTTGTACTAGGCTTAGCCAACTCACAAAGGAGCGATATAGTCACAGTTGTGAAGAGACCTTTTGATCAAATTCTGGTTTTGGAATACTTTAGATTTACGCTTTGCATATTACCCATTCGTTTTTTTCAACTCGCCGGGCTACAAATTTTCTCTATGAGATAGCACTTCACACCCTGGAAAGTCGCGTTACTCTATGCTTCAATGGTCGTTTTTACAATCGATCAAAGGCAACACGAACATATTTGCTTTGACTTCTCATTTGTTAGAGTCCCGGTTTTGACAATAATGGATAACGGCCAACAGTCAGAAACAATCTATAAAAACAAGCAGCCTCATCACGACACGGCGATAGTGATAGCGATACCCCTGGCTTGTCCCTCCTTGAGCTCGTGTCTCGCCCCTCATTTGCCTTGCTCCCTTTCCGCCTTCTTTCTGCGCTCTCTTTCAATCATCTCTGTCAGTTTCTGAGCAATCTTGTCGCGGCCGTGATCGATGAGAACAGTTGGCATGGTGTTGATGATGGCCACGCCCAAGGGGCCGCTCTGGACGACCTGCACGAATGTGAGGAGGAGGGCGGGGAATAGTATGAAGATTGCGAAGCAGCGCATGTTGCTTGGGTCTTGTGCTCTTCGTTTCTGCCGTTCGTTGAGATGGTTTTAGGGTGTTTTCGTGAACAGAAAGATGAGCGGATGGGGAGACGAAGTGTTTTGTTCGTTTTTGGCAAGTGACTTGATGTTCCTTTGGATGCGATTTGATGAAGAGACGTGGTCAAAATCTTGGCGACAGCTCTAGTTATACTAGGAGAAAGACGGTCTCTTGGGTTATTTGAGCCGAGAACCATATGGCCTGAGGTCATCGCAAACCTCAATCGATGGTTGATATGATCCTACCGTGGTCGGTAGGTTTCTTCTATCGTTTGTCAAGTGGGACAAGCTTAAAGTGCGCATGAATACGCAAGCCACAATACGTCAACGGTTCTCTGGAGTATCTTGGACAGAAAGCTTGTTCATTCATGCACGATGGGATAAGAAGCCAAGAGGCATCAGGGTAGTCATTTGGGCCGATCTCAAGGTTATTATCTGCAATATTTCGGCAGATCCTGAAAGGAGAGGTTTGAGAATATGAAATTACACTTAGGCTTCTGTCACAGCGGCTTATATGAAAGTTTAGTGAATGGAATTCTTGGAAACGGATCGACACGGTTTCTAGGTCTTAACCTTAAAAGATCATTGGAGCTTTCCATTATGGCCCAACGCCTCAATGAATTCCAACGGCCACTGAGATAAACAGAGGGCTAAAATCAAACTGTCGACACAAGAATGAGGTTGGTGGCTTCAAATTTCGGGCTTATACGCGCCCCTAGAACAATTGCAGTGCTCCGTCAACTACTGCATGAATCCTAAGTCCTGGAACGGGCTGCCACTGGCATGATACGGTGTTATTGTACGAAGAGTTCAACCAGGTTTGTGTTCCCACAACGTGCTCTGGATTCAGGTATTCCGGGCAGTGGCATTAAATCAAACAACCAAGATACAACAATCTACTTGCTCTTGATGAAGTATAGATGCTTCTGTAGCCAATAGCACGTGCTGCTATACAAACCCATATGGCTATATTCACTTCACGTGAACAGCCACCCCCTCTCTGGATGGAGAGAGTGGTCTTGTTCCAGGGCAAGGTCAAAGGCTGTCAGCATCAGAGTGCCTAACAGGTTCCCGACCCATGCAGCATTTGACTTCAACCACCGATAGCTTGGTCGGAACATCGGTTACAAGGTGCTGCATGGCGCTGGCCCTCGTCATCATCGTTCCAGCCACAAGAGCGTTATGTTGCTGAGTGGGTAACCCCCCCAACTAAGCACATCCTCTCGAGCTGTTCTATATCAAAGATTGGTGGAGGGGAGCTGTTGGTTCAGTGAGATGGGACAAGTATGCAGAGTTTCTCGTAACGCACGTCGCAAATGCCCGCTGCTTTGAACCGCCGGGCCAATGAAGATATATACCATCGGCCCCAACCTGCCCGATGACCTCTCAAAAGCTGACCATTGCCTGTTTATCGTATCATCTGACCCCTGTAGTAGGGAACAAGCTCTGACGGAGCTGACCATGACGTGGCCCATATCTTGTTCGGCGAGCTTCAGGAAGCAGTCGAACATCGAGTTGGCAGATGGCAAGGCCGGCACTTGGGGACGAGATGGCATCTGCAGACGGCGACAAGTGAGAGGAACGACTGAGGTGACACCCCTTATCCCGCTTCATTGTAGAAATGTTGCCCCGGACGCAGCCTGGAGAAGCTGAGGAACTAGCCGGCCGTGAAGAGCGCCGCCGTTCCCTCAGAAACCTCTTACACTTGCGCTAAGCAAGGATCTGGCCCCTGCTTTCCTGCAGATTAGTGAACTGATCACCGAAATCCAAGCCGCTAGTCATCCTGCGGGGCTCGCTTGAAGAGTGGCGCGGGGGAGTGACACGCGGCTAGCACGGTCAGCCCTTGATACGAGCCGAAGTCGACGATAGTGGAATCAAGGAGGCAGCATCGCGCAGTAGCCTGACAAGTGTCTAGTGCGATGCGGCGGACGGCCAGGGGGAGTTGGCTAGGCCCTTTGGCGAGGGCCACGGTGGTTGCGAGTCACAAAGCCGGGGGGTCCTCGTTGTCAAGTGAGGAGCTAGCGGTTCGAGGTGTGCGTGTTCTTATCGCTGATGAAACGATGAAGAACGAAACGTGGGGCGCTACCTTGCAACGCGGTGCCGTGCCTGTCAGCGGGTGACGAGATGATGATAGGTTCTCGGGGGATGATTTACACATATGGTGAGACTGCAGAGTGGACAGTCAGATCAACTTCGTAATCTCCGGTAGGCAGTGAATGCCGATGCGCCGAGAGGGGAGGGCGGGAGAGTGAGACGGGAGGATGACGAGCGGCCGGTAAGGCTGAGTGATAGAGCCTTCTTTGTGTTACATCAGCACGGCTCTTGAATTTGGGCCAGGGGGATAATGCTGACGAGAGATGGGCCCTTGAAACATGGCTCGGGTATCAGCTGACTGTCGCACCTCGTGGGTTTTCCTGGACCGCCATCGGTGAGCGACGCGGTGTAAGACCGGAGTGCCGTTCGGTGAAGGGTTCCAAGACAAGGGTGGGCAGTTCCGCCCCTAAATCTACTTTGGCATGTGGTTCAGGTGAGACTTGGTGAAGCGAGGAATGTCGACGCCAGACCAGGGTTCCGGAATGGATGACGCCTAGAGGGCTTCGGAGGAATGATACCTGCAATCATTGCGCGGGTGTTATCGACGGGAAAACGCTCAAAACCTGCCGGTCCGAGGAAGACGACGGGCAAAAGCGGTGGATGAAGTCAAAGTTTGAGAGGAATTCTGCCCAGGGCAGAAAGGCGCTAGGTATTGCATTGCATCGATCGGACGATCACCAGTCCGTGTGATAGTCCCACATCGGCCGTCACTTCCCGTGCCGTGTGGGCCCACCCTGCCTCGGTCAAGTGTCGTAGCCAACGGCACGCACTGTGCACCTTCTGCGCCTACCTCTCGGCCGTTCCCCCATCCACATCGCCGACACATTTCCGTCCGCCCATCGTTCACCGTTCAGCGTCGCCCGCAGCGCACCCGCTCGACATCCACTTCCTCTCTGAACCATGCACTCGCATCGTCTGCCGATTGCTCGCCGCTGCCAGCAGAAACCCACCGACCAGCCCAACATTACCCTTGCCGCAGGGACGGTGTGATGCGCTCGACATAGCCGAGCCCCGATTCACTAATGCCCCCCGAGGCCGATCTCATCACGATTACACAAGACAAGGGTAGAGCTGCCAGGTCCTAGCGCCCGACCTGACAAGCACGCCGATCTGGTTAGACGTAGGTGGTGGAGGATCCCGTGTGATGCATTCCATCTCTCACCCTTTCCGGTGTCAATCCTCAATCTCGAATAGGTTCAGACGCCCCCAAGAACCGGTCGTCTATATTCCTCTATCCACCATTGCGGTATTGAACTGCATCTCCGCGGTGTGGCCAAGTCCGGAGCGTTTTCTCCTTGCCCTCTCAAGCTAAGCCAACAGGGACAAGCCCACGGCCAAAAGCCTAGGCCTGGGTCCGGCCTAACGCCGCTCCGCCTCTCTGTACATTTCTTATTCCTGCCCAGTCGCGTCTCCCAGACTCTCCCCCCTTCTCCTCACCAATGAAAGAACGACAACCCTCCGTTATCCCGTTAGGCTCGAGCCTAAAACACAAGTCTGAGCCATTTTCCCTCCTCTTCACGGACTGTCACTCAAAAACCTTAATTGGACATCAGGCGAAAGGTGGAGCCAGCTTAATTCAACCTACATGACTACCCGGCACTTGCATGACGCCCAGTAAGCAGTGACGCGATCTTGACGAAGTCCCCCCCTCCAAGGGACACCTCGACAAGACACGCGGAAAGTGAGCAGGGGAGACAGAAAATAACAACAAGAAAAAAGGAGCTGAGATCCAAGACATGCGTTTTTATTTTTTCAAATTCCTTCACACTTGGTGTCCGGAACCGCTTATGCAACGCGACTGCGTCTGGCAGCAAACTCGGCCTCCCGCACCGCGCTAATCGACCTGTCAATGACACAGCGCTCCCTCACCTGCATCGCAACCGCGGCGCTAGGAGGGAGCTTGGAATCCAGCAAAATGACATGGCCACAATGCAAGCCTGGGAAAGCAAAGGGAGGAGGCCAGCCCGTCCCGTCGAGGGCTTCGTGGTCTACCTCGAATCACATCATGCGGTTCCCATGGGCCACAAACACGCACACAACATAACATAACACAATACAAGGCTCTTGAAACATGACATGGCCTAGGCAATTCGGCGAACCAAGCAATCGGGAACCGTCATGCAGTCTCTACGAGTCGAGAACCAACCAGTTTCCACCAGGACCCCCAAACCACCACACGGAACCTCGTCACATGGTACGCCGCCAGGACAGGACCGTCGACGCCGTGCGACTCCAACCAGGAGGCGCCCCCTTCCACCACCCGATAGCTACCCGACAGGCAGCCACCTTCCACCCCCTCCCTCTCTTTGCTTTTTCCTCTTCGTTGGTGTCATCAGCTCGCCCTCCCTCTTCCCTCTTCTCCCTTCCCACGGGCAGCTGCACACTCTACAGCTCGCACTGTCCATCAGCCGGATGCAACCCTCCAAAGATACAATCACTCGTGAGGCACGACGGCAACTTGCCCCCCGCCCCTTTACAACACTCGAAGCCCCCCCCCCCTTTTTTTTTTCCTTCTTTTCTTCTCTTTTTGATTATTTTTAATCAGAATCCTGCGCAGCACCGCGCAAAACCCACGTCTGAAGAACGGAAGCCGCCCTAAGCCCCCTCCTCTCTCTCCTCCTTCGTCCCTCCCTCCCGTTGTTCATGTTGTGTCCCCACAAGGTTCGTACAGTGCCATGCCAACGGGAATCGCCTTGTAACCGCTGCTCGCTAATCATCGGAGCCCCTTTCGCCATCCCCTTATCACCTCATCCCCGCGTCCCCTACCCGCCTTGTGGTGGCATACCTATGTGCGTGCCTTTGTTTTGTGTCCCCCCATGCATGTCCTTGTGACAGATACAGAGGGAGAGCCCCCCTCCCTCCCCCACCGATAAACAAGAGAAAAGAGAGAATACCAAGCCCTGCCGCCCACCAGCCCCAACCACCCACACACTACTGCGTACGTTCCCATGGAACTCATCGAGGGCCGCCCTTAACCCACTGCCGGTAGAGCCCGAACCGGTGTGAAGCCTCTCCAGCTCTCGTTTGTTCCCATCCAATCCCAGGCCATCATCCACCCGATGGGCGAGGTAGGGATCTCCAGGCCAAGATGTGTTTACAGGGGTGGCCGGTATGGAACGAGGAGGAGAAGGGATCGGACAAGCCGCACTCTGTACAAGGGGACTTGCAACAAGTTTGCCTCCCTCCTTCTTTCTTTTTCGGGCTTGCATTGCAAAAGATCTGGACAGAGGGGCCTGGACGAAGCCCGCCCCCCACCCAGCGCGCGCACTCTGCCTCGTTTTGCTTCTTCGGCTCCCCGTCGTGGCATTTCAGCCATACCCGTCGCCGGCTCCCCTCCAAGTCTCTTTCTGTTTCTTCCCCCCCAAGGCGTCGCGTTTCGCCCAGTGGGACCCGTGCCGTCGAAGAAGGACAAACAAGCAAACAAACAAGAGTGGTCATGCGGGTCAGAACCGAGATGCTTGGGTGGACGTTGACGACGAGCAAGAAAGAGGGGGGGGGGAGGGAGTGCATTGCTTGTGGGATTATTGGCATGTCAAAAAATTTTACGCCCCCAGAGGACACAGGGGTTGCTCGGAAGGCCTAGTAGTTTGGGCAACTTTTAAGAAGTAGAACTGCTGTGATCCCAACAGCAAAGACACCATAACATAAAATAAAATAATAAACAACCCAGGTACCTAGCATCGGCGCCTGCCGCTGCTTCCCCAGTACGTGGCCCTTCAACGTGGCAGGGCGCAGCCGGTCCGTCGTCATGTTGTCGTGTATCTTCCTCCGCTGCCGAATCGCCCCCCTCCCCTCCTGGGCCCATCAACTGACCGATCTCCCATCCCGCAACTCATGATCTCTCCACTACACTTCCCGAGTCCCTGGTATCTTCCACAAGTAATACGATCAATGGTAAAATAGAAAAAAAAAGGGGGGCTATCTTTGTTGAAGCGAATGTTCCGTATCCTCACGTTATTACAACAAAACACCGTATGGCCCATCGAAGCGAAGAGTAGGGGTTTCCAACAAAAAGATGAAAATGAACCGAGGAAATGGAACAGAAAAGAAAAAACAAATAGAAGAAGAAAGAACCCAAAGGCCAAGGAAATGCTTGGCGGGTATCCCTAACAATGCCTGTCATTCACCGTATTCCGAGTTGGCCCCGGGCCGACGTGTGTCTCTGTGTTCATCCAAACTTTTCCCCTCCCATGATGTGTTGACGTCGGGCATACCGGGCCAATTTCCCTTCTGTTCCCGTCACTCCCAGTTCAAAGCCATAAATTATCTCTTCCCTTTTTGTCCACGCACCGGTTCGCCATTGACCCCTGTTTTTCTTTTCGCCCGGGTTTTTTATTGTAAATCCCCTTCTTCCCCACATGCATTCAGTCTTGTTCGGGTATCGATCCAAGGTGCGGTACTGATGCTTGCGTGTCCTTGTTTCCATACGCCAAAAAATCTCGCCGTAAAGCTGTATGCTGAAGCTCCAATGTTTCTTCGGGAAACATAATCGGAAAAAAGACTATCCAAAAAGAAGAATGACCGCTCGTTAATGGCGTGTTCTCCTCACCCCCTTACCACATGTGGTGCGTGCCGCCGTGGTATCTTGCTCGCCCGGCTTATAATGCGTTGCGGCGGCCCCCAGGACCAACTGAGGGGTTTCGCCCTTTCTCACGTCATATTCGAGACGTTGGCTCCGGACTGTGGTACCATGGTTGGATAGTATCCACTAGACGTAGACTTGCCCTCGAAAGGACCACATCTTTGAGTCGACATGAGCGCTCCAGGCTGAAAGATGCTTGGCAGTATCTCGGGGTCGCGCTTGACTCTATTGTGGAGTGGATCGTAGTTTGAACCGACATGCGGCACCATGTTGTCTTGCCCATGCCGGTGGTGGGCGAACATTTCCACTCCTCTCGAGTCCGCCCCGTCATACATCGTGCCGGGGTAATACTGGTATTCCTTTGTCGTGTCGATGGCTTTGGCGTCTTCGGGAGGTAGCATGTGCTCCAGCTCGGGGTGGTGACGAGTTGACCCATAATGAGCGCTTCCGCGGGTATCGAACCCGGCCGCGTAGCCTCCTCCCACCATGGCACCCGCGGGCCCAAAGTCGGACCCGATGATGGAGCTGTTCGGGTACCCCGTGAAGCTGCCTCCAGACCCCCCTGGCCCGCTACTGGTGCTGGCACGCCTCTCGCTCTGGTAGTGCCCCGGGGAACGGCCGCGCACAATCATCTTGGCTGACTTCCGGTACGCGATCCGTATGAAGTTGTTCGGGCCCTGTGACCCGACGTCCGCCCAGAGCTCAATCAGCAGGTGGTAGTACTGCTGTGCGGCCCGTCTCTTTCCGTTGTTCGCTGTCGCCTGTTTGAATTGGATACGCTCAAACGTGTGCTCCGTCTGGTAAGAGTCGCCGCTCTGCTGACCGCCGTAGCCCCCGCCGTCTGGGAACCCAATCCTTGACGGCCCTCCAAGCACACTGTCGCCATGGTAGAGACCCATTGGATGTGACATCTGAGGATGCTTCGGGTGAAGGCGCACCTTCCCAGGCTTCTCGACCGGGCCCTTGTCCCTCTTGGGCGTGTGCTGGACCAGTTCGATCGTGTGGGAATCGTTCTCCGCGACGACTGCCGAGATGGACATGGCAAAGCCCAAGACCGAGTATGGCTGCGTTGAGCCTTGCTGCGTGAATTGCAGAGCCTGGCCGGGATAGTGTGGGGTCAGTCCAAAGGAGCAAATGCAGGAGAAGTAGTTCCTCCTGTAGCACGTCCAATCGCCATCGGACTGGAAGAAGCCCTTGTCGATGTTGCCGTGGATGTCAAGCTTGACTTGCATGCCGTCCGTGTATTGAAGGATGCCGAGGTTCGTGATGGGGCTCAGCGGAGGCACGCTCGTCTGTGTCCTGGAGGAGGACGAAGGGTAATGGCCGGGATCCATTCTCAGGGCAGCGGGTGCGGTGAAACCGGTGATGGGGCTAGAAGTTGGAGATATCGGATGGCGTCGTAGAGCAGTTGGATACGATGGAGACCTGGGCTGGTGCTCCGACGCCCTCCTGTAAGATGGCGTCGCCGGAGAGTACTGGTCTCGAGTGGTGATGTGTGTGCCAGGATGCGGTAATGCTGTGGAGCGGTGGGCATGTGCCATGCCCGTCGAAGAGGTACTACTGTCAGGTAAGTCTGTGAGTCTGGCCATGGTCCATCTTTGACGGGACAGGACAGTATCGTGTTTTCTACTTGGCAGTATCGAAAAGGGGGAGGGAGGGGGAAATGGCGTGCAACCTACTTTGAGCCCAGGCGAGGCCTGACGTCCAGAGTGGGGAAGACGTGAGAGGCGGCTGGGTGGTAGAAGCCGCCGTCGGCGGAGTACGGAGTCGCGCTGGCTATAGGTGGATTGAACAGGTTTAAGAGCGTCGGCTGTTGCGAAGGGCCTTCGATCGTCGACAGAGAAGCATTAGTGTTGTGTTCGTATCTGATATTCCCGTCAGCCATAGTAACCCCCTCCGAGTTTGAAAGCCATGCAAAAAGCAGAGGGTTGGAAGCCTGGCACAACAACTGCTGTACCGCGTCCGCATGCAAGACACAGTGTCAGTGCTACCGGTTCGTCCTACTGCCAGCAGCGTGTTGCACAACGGCCAGCGGATACAGGATCAGAAAATGCGAGGACACACAGCCGTGTGGCGGCAATGGGCGGGAACGCCTGCGGATTCCTAGTTGGACGGTGGCTGCCAAACGGCAGCTACCCACGCCTGTCCATCCTTTTTGCTGCCGCTGCAAAGATCAGACCTCTCGCTTCGACTTACGTCCTTTCCGTGTTCGAAGCATACCAACCCGATAGGCTGGGCCAAGCCCGAGCAGAAAAGAGCGCGCCGAGTCGAAAGGGTCCGTCTCTTCACGAAGCTTGTCAAAATGCAATTGCTAGGCGGTAGGGGCTCGGGGGTCCTGTCCAGGGCTGTAGGTGTCCGAACGCTCTGGAACAGAGCCAGAGTCGAGTAGGACTACACACTGCGGCTCTGGCAGGGGGGGGGCGGAAAACACCAGTAACGATAGTACACCGAGCCTCGGTCGGACGTCAAGATCAATCGTGTTTTCTACTTACCGCATGTCATTGCTTGAAGCTTGTATGTCGAGGTAGTCATACCCTGCGGACGGTTCGAACTCCTGTTTGCACGGTGACACTCGTTAGACCATGACTCCCACCCAAGAAACAAATGGTGGAAATGAGGACGAGATCTCGCAAAATGATCTCGAGGCTGTGCCGTTGTTGTGTCCAGGAAGCTACGGTTGTTGTGGGGGGTGTGCGATCCGCCTCAGGCGCGAGCCGGCCCAGACAAGCAGACAAAAAGGACAAGCGAGTGATTTGCGGCGCAACGGCTGTGGTAAGTTAGCAGGAGGTGCCAAAGAGAGGCAGCATTCAGAAGGAGGCAACATGTGTGAAAAGCAGCTCGAGGAGAAGATAGACGAAAGAGGGGGGGGGGGGGGGGGGGGGGGGGGGGGGGGGGGGGGGGGGGGGGGGGGGGGCGGTTGTTGACCGGTCTGGGCCTAGGTCTTGTTAAGCCCGACCGATGAGGAGTTGCTGCATCGGCGGCGACAGCAGGAGTACGACCAGCACCAGCACCAGCATAAGCACCAGCAGTGTGAAGAGCAGATGACGGGGGGGAGGGAGAGACAGAGAGGGAGAGATAGGTGAAGAGAGGAGGCAACATCAGAGACAAGGTACAAGCCAATATTGCCGGGCACCACAGTGTACTTTGCGTGCATGACTTGCAGGTGAGTGAGCCGGCCGAAGGGCGAAAGATGACCAGTCGTGCAGTGCAGACAGACAGGCACACACACACACGCTTTCTCTCCATGTCTCTCTTTCCCTCTCTCTCTCTTTTTTCTCCCACGCCCAACACACACGCCTCGTGCCAATCCCGGGGAGTGAATGTGAGCGCGTGAGAGACACCGCTTGGGGTGTCAGAAGCAAGGCACTGGCGTGGTACTGAGCGTCCCCAAGTCCTGTGTTCATCATCCCATCAGACTCCAGGAAGGCTCGAGGTATTCCGAGAGATCAGACATGGGCACGCCGGATGGAGTACGCGACCTTTGGCGGATGCGCAGGTGCGTTCTTGTCTTGAATGCCCGTCTGGATTGCCCGTCCGGAGATGCTCTGGTGCCGTCGGCTTTTGCTTCTTCTGGCATGCATTTCCAAGGGGAAGGAGACTGATTTGAGATGGCGAAAAAAACAATGAGACAAAAGTGAACACGGAACTGCCGCCGACGAATGTGCACAAGGTGGGATAGACATGGGAAAAGCAATGAGCGTCGAATCGCGTACGTACCTTTGGCGAAGCCTCACTCGGCCCGCTTCCTTGCCTGTCCGTCCTTCGGGACGTGGACAGGATCAGGCCAGCCGGAACGTGGCCTAGACCAGTCCTCGACTCGCCTGCCCTTCCTTGTCTGCGCCACCCGTTGGAGGCGTGTTGGTTGGCGTCGTGCCTTTTTGCACCCCTTCGAGGGCTCTTTATTTTTTTTCTCTGATGGTGGTTGTTTTGTGCTGGATCGTACCGCTGCTGATGAGCTGTGCAGATCCAGACCAGGCCCACTGACCGATGAACGGGCGCTTGGATCAATCAGACTGAATGGTATTTCGGCCCATATTGTTGGTTTGTTGCAGCTGCGGTAACAGCAACGGTTGCAATTCTTGTCGTCTTGTTGGTCCGGCACAGCGTCGCGATGCAATTGCAGAGAGGAGTGGATGGGAGAAATGAGGGAAAGGAGGAGAAACGAGGCGTCGAGTTGAGTAATATTGCAGGGGAGAGAGTGTGATCAGGTAAGGCAAAGAAACGGAGAGGGCAGTGACATGGGAGGATTGCGAAAGGGAATGGATTGGGAGGGCGATAGCATAAGACGGGATGGGATTACGGTACCTTGGCCAGCTGTTGAGGATTCATACGACGGTCGTCCCCGGCGACGAGGGGTGTCGCGCCGTAGTAGAGGGGCGGTGATCGGGTGCTGATGCTTGCGCTGGTGCTGGTGCTGGTGCTGGCGCTGGAGCAGCGTTCTTGACGCCCCAACTCCTCGATCCTCTTTTTTGCCCACAACACACGCCCATGTTAGCCAATGTGCCCCATCATCGGTCATCGACCCTGCTCTCAACCCTCCTCCCCCAGCTTGAACTTCTGGGCTTTCTCTTCTTCTTTTTTTTTTGCCTTCTTTCCCATCTTTGAGCGATGACCAGAAACCGGCCTCCTCCTCCTTCTTCTCTTCGTCTCTTATTTTCTTCCAACAACTGCAACCTTGACCGGGGAGAGGAAATACGGGGCTCTCAACACTCACCGGCGGTTGACTCTCCAAAAGTGCCCCAGTCATGCCAAGGGGTTGTCTGCAGCTCTTTATCCTGCTCGACCTAGCAGGTGCGATTATGCCGTCAGCAACGGAACCGAACCCAACTTCGTCTCTGTCTGGTAGGTAGGTGGCCGTTTCTTCGGCCCACAAGCCCAGCATAGTCGATCGTCTTGGAGACACCGCCATTGATCCACGGACAAGTCTCACGACAAGCTCATGGTCGTCGTGTTTGGCGCCGTACAAAATGACAAACTCTCCTAGCTAAACTCGACGACGGTCCGCAGCGACACGCATCGACCAGCTGTCCCTTACGTGTATGGCCCGACACCCATTCCGTGTTGACAAAGATTCGCTGAATCGCCTCTTTGTATGCTGAGCATCCTAGAACACGTGCTTACTTACTCGCAGGAAGAAGAGCGCCGTGGAATTGTACACCTGGACGTATGTTAGCGTCTGTCTCTCCTCAACGAACGGCACTGCCGTTGCATCAACAATGACCCGCCTGGAAAGCAAGATGACCCTGCTCATACTAGAGGCGAATCGGATCATGGCGCGGGGAAACAGGCGAGATGGATCCTGACCAGCAACCCCTGGTGTAAATCCCCTCGCGCCCGCCACCCACGAACCGGCAGGAATAGACAGCCCCCATCGAGGGAGCTAAACATGGTTGTTGTGGGACAGAGTTGCTAACTCGACTTACTCTTTCAAGATTCTCTTGCTGGCCAGCGTCCGCAACTTGTTCGAATAGTTGGCTTGATTCGCCGACACCCGCGCTGTTTCGAGTACTGAATCGGCTCCCGACAGTGGGTGCGTGTAGGTGGTGGTTGCAAAGAGCAATAATGTGTTCCAGCCGCTAGGTGTTGTAAAAGTCGATGCTCTGAGCACTATATCCACTTGCTATGCAGTTGATCAAGTTGTTGAGTTTGCGAGAAGCTCGAGGAAGTGCAGGTTCTTGGAAACCCGGTATCTATATACCTTGCCAGCAGAACCCCAGATGTGGCTGGTTCAAGATCGCACAGAAGCAGAAAGGATGGGTTGGAGGCTCAACATGTGAATACAGGTAGCACAGACCAAGCAACAACAGAGCAGCTGGATTTAACAAGTACACTGCCGATGGCCTAGAAATCCCAAGGTGCAAGGAAGACAAAGTCGGAAGAGATTGGGCGGGGACTCCACGCGTGAGCAAATGGGTTGTGCAGACTCTGAGACAACAGTAAAGGGACATTGAATTGTGTGGGGAGCTCCAGGAAACCCCAGTCGGCTTCTCGAGCAGGCGTCCTTTGCTTTGCTTTGCTTCGGCGGTCCCTTTCCACAGAGAATACGATACCCAGGCGTGTAAAGCGAGAGCGCAGGGAACAAAACTTTCCAATCGCCAAGCCGTCGAGCAAAGGTACTGGGAATCGGCTAGGGCCAGAGGCGACGTATTCTGGGCAGGGGGGTGAGAGTCTGTACGACTTGACTTCATATGCCAAGCTTCTCAATGACCCAAGTCCATGGGGCTATTCAGGCAAGCAAGCCTTTGTGGTCGCGTCCGAGAATGTAATCCAGTTGGGATAGCACTATACCATTCCGCCTGCTGACTGGCAATCATCATGGCCTACGCCAGGGTCGGGAAATGGCCCAGGCAACGTTTCCATCTCTCTAGTGTGTAGACGATACAGCGGATGATTTCGGGCTTAGATCCAAGGCATCCATCTCCAAGCTAAGGAATGGAGGATCTACTCACCTGCGCCGCCGTGTAGCCCGGGGGGGTGCCGAGGTCCTGCGCTATGAACGGAAGAGGACGACTTCCAAGCCTCGCTGACCTGCCCTTCTATGCATCAAATCTGCAACTACCCGTCCTTCATGGGTCTGGATGAAACACCACAGGCAGCCCCTTCAAATAGGGAAGGGATTGGCCTTGGTAGGAAATTGGGCTATCAACGGCAGCTTGCAGTCGCGAAAGCAGGCCATGGGCGTTTAGCGGACATCCCGGCCATTGAGATCGAAGGTTTTTGCATGACGTTCGGTTGCGACCAACAGTCTACGCAAGTGTCGTCGGATTGGCTGAAGGTCTACCATGGTCGCGAAGATGGACTTCGAAAAAGCTTTGGCCTCGTGCCATCGGGACCATTGTATGCGGCCAGAGAACGTCAAGCCTGGGCTGACGAAGATGACGGGGC